GGGGGTCCAGCGGTCAGTGCCAGGGGTCCTGGGGGGTTCTGGAGGGGTCCAGGGGGGGTTCTGGGGGGTCCTGGGGGTTCCAGGGGTCAGTCCTAGGGGTCCAGGGGTGTCCGGGGTCAGTCCTGGGGGTCCTGGGGGTTCCTGGAGGGTCCTGGGGTCAGTCTTGGGGGTCCTGGAGGGTCCTGGGGGGTCCTGGGGTCAGTCCTGGGGGGGTTCTGGAGGGGTCCTGGGGGGTCCAGGGGTCAGTCCTGGGGGTCCTGGAGGGTCCTGGGGGGTCCTGGGGTCAGTCCTGGGGGGGTTCTGGAGGGGTCCTGGGGGGTCCAGGGGTCAGTCCTGGGGGTCCTGGAGGGTCCTGGGGGGTCCTGGGGTCAGTCCTGGGGGGGTTCTGGAGGGGTCCTGGGGGGTCCAGGGGTCAGTCCTGGGGGTCCTGGAGGGTCCTGGGGGGTCCTGGGGTCAGTCCTGGGGTGGACACCAGTGGTCAGTCCTGTGGAGAAATGGCCAGGGGTGTCCAGGGGTTGTCCAGGTGTGTCTGGGGGGTATCAAGAGAGTGTCCAGATGTGTCCAGGTGTGCCCAGGTACCCCCAGGTGTGTCCCAACCCCCCCCTTCCCCCTTTTTTCTCCCCCCAGGGCCCCCCCTAAGGGCAGCCCCCCCTCTCCCACCGACCTCCAGGATTTCCTGGCTCGCGTTTTCCAAGGAAATCCGGGCTGGGGGGAAACCGGGGGGGCTTTTCCCACCCCCCCCGGGGCCGCGGGACCCCCCCAGCCCCAGGGGGGTCCCCCCAGGGGGGACACCAAGCACAAGAGGAGGAAGAAGGGGCGGCGGCCTCTGCCTCGCTGAGGAGACCCCCCCCAGACCCCCACCCCCCCCCCCAAAACAAAAAAAGACGCACGCAAAAAAAAAAGGGCTCGGAATAAAAATCTATTTTTTTCTTTTTTTTTTTAAATTTTTTTTTGGAGTTTTTTTAAAGAAATCGAGTGGTTTTTGTATTAAAAAATAAGGGGGGGGCGGAAACGGGGATTGATTCGGGGGCTCACTGCGGCCATACCCGGGGTCACCAAGGGGTTTCTTGCTGTCCCCGAGCCCCCCCCCGGTGTCCCCAAGGCCCTCCCGGTGTCCCCAGGGCCCCCCCGGTGTCCCCAAGGCCCTCCCGGCCTCACAAGCTCCGGGAACTCCGGGCCGCCATAACCGCGCCACTTCCGGTCCACGCCGGAAAAGGAATGGCGTCATGGCACCGCCATATTGAAGGTCCAGGTGACGCCTCAGAGCGCGGCGCCATCTTGAGTGTGGTCAGAGCCGCGCTGGTGGCGCTTCAGGCGGCGTTACCGGGCTTGTGGCGGGTTCGGAACGGTCGGGACCGAGCCGTAGGGTGTCCGGTTAGTCCGGGAAATACGGTTTGGTCTGCCGGTGAAGCGGCCACTCCCGTCATGGCGGCTGCCAACACACATGAGGAGGGATGGACACGCTCATCATGGCGGCCACACCAATCATGGCTGCCACACCCATCATGGCGGCCACACCCATCATGGCTGCCACACCCATCATGGCGGCCTCCACGCTCATCATGGCCATGAAAAAGTGGGGCGAATTATTTTAATTATTCAAATTAATTAAATTCTTTTACTGATTAATAAAAAGGGTTCTGGCTCAGGGGCTGTTCTGGAGAGTTGGGGTGGTTTTAATACGGAATACGAAGATGCAGGGTTGTGCTATGTTATAAAAGAGATAAATTAAGTTATAATTAATATAATAACGGAATAAAGCAGCAGCACCTGGAGAGGGGAAGGGAGCGGGAAACTCTGGAATGTTCTGGAAAATGACCCCAAATTTCTGCTTTGCACCTCTGGGTGAAGGAGAATAATTAATATAATGTACTTATAATAAAATATTAATACAAAACATGCGAGAGCGAGTTTAAATAATCTCAATAAAATAATTTTTACCTCATAATTACGTAATGAAGAGCTCAAATCATAACAAAAACACGTTTTGATAAATAACACCATCACAAGAAACATAACAAAACCACGTACAATAAACACATAATAACGCGACCTAATGAATAATAAATATCTAGCTCTACTTAATAATGTCAACAGTTTAATGAAACGCTTTAATTAACATTAATTAATCCCACCCGAGTCCCTCAATGAGCCCCGCTCCGGTCTTGGCCACACCTCCCGGAAGTCGGCGTTTCCCGCCCTCTCTTTCCATTGGTCGCTGCTTAGCATTTCCCTACTCCTATTGGTTTATGCGCACATCAATCAGAATCTCCCCGCCCCCAGCGCCCGACAGGCCAATCACAGGCGGGTTCTACGGCAGCGCTGACCAATGGCGAGAGGCGGATTTGGGCGGGACCGCCGAGGGCGCGCGGCGTTGATTGGTCAGAGCGGCGTGAGGGGCGGGGCTGGCGGTAGGGGTGACAAGATGGCGGCGGAGCCGGTGGAGCTGCACAAGCTGAAGGTGCCGCTGGTAGCGGGAACGGCCCCGGGGAAAGCGCGGGGGAATCGCGGGGACAGAGCCCGGCAACCGCGACTGCCCCGGCGGCGGCGCCGGGATAGCGGCTGCGGATGAGGGAGCGCGTGGGGGGACGGCGGGAAACGGAGCCGGGGGCTCTGAGGGGAGCGCGGGCGTAACCGGGGCTGGCGGGGCTCTGAGGGCTCCGGGAGAGCGGCGGGGAGCGGGAACCGGGACCCGGGGGAGTCGTGGCTGTGAGGGGGAGCCGGGGCCGGAGGAGGCTCAGAGGGAAGCGCGGGAGGAACGGGAACCGTGAGGGCACCGGGAGGAGGGCGGGAACCGGGACCGGGGCTGCGGGGGAACCGGGGCCGAGGGGGAACCGGGGCTGAGAGAGAACCGAGAACCGGGGCTGAAGGGGAACCGGGGCTGAGGGAGAACCGGGGCTGAAGGGGAACCGGGGCTGAGGGAGAACCGAGACCGGGGCTGAGGGAGAACCGGGACTGAGAGAGAACCGGGAACCGGGGCTGAGGGAGAACCGAGACCGGGGCTGAGGGGGAACCGGTGCTGAGGGGGAACCGGGGCTGAGGGAAAACCGGGAACGGGGCTGAGGGGGAACCGGGGCTGAAGAAGAACGGGAACGGGGCTGAGGGAGAACCGGGGCTGAAGAGGAACCGGGGCTGAGGGAGAACCGGGAACGGGGCTGAGGGAGAACCGGAGCTGAAGAAGAACCGGGAACGGGGCTGAGGGAGAACCGGAGCTGAAGAGGAACCGGTCCCAGCACTGGCGGCCCCCGAGCTCCTCCTGCCCCGGCCGGGACCCCTTGGAGGGGCCGGGATGATTCCCGGGACATTCCCGGGATAATTCCCGAATTCCCGGCTGCCATTCCCACATTCCCAGCTGCCATTCCCTGTTTTCCAGCTGGCAGAGCTGAAGCAGGAGTGCCTGGCCCGGGGCCTGGAAGCCAAAGGCAACAAACAGGACCTGATCCATCGGCTCCAGGCCTACCTGGAGGAGCACGGTGGGTGCTCCCAAATCCCACGGAATTCCTGCCTGGAATTCCCGTTCTCCAGCAAAATCCGCCTTTTCCCGGGATTCCCCAAGGATTTTTCCCTTCTCTGACCTTTCCCTGTTTTTCTTTTCCAGCCGAGGAAGAGCCCAACGAGGAGGATGTGCTGGGAGAGGAGATTGAGGTGGGAATTTTTTGGGATAATCCCGGTTTTCCGAGGGGTTCAGGGTGGGAATGGGGCAGAATTCCAACACATTCCAACACCCTGTGGAGTTTAAATCATTTTCCCACCTTTTTTTTGGGGGTTAAATCCGTTGGATTTGGCGCTTGGGAATTCCGGATGGGGGAATCTTCGGGATCCAAATTTTTGGGTTTGATCCTTCCCTGGGATGGGGGAATGCTGGGAAAAGCGGGAATTTGTGGGATTTTGGGATGGAATTCCCACCTGGAGCAGAATTCCCAAAGGATTCCTCATCCCTGGGGTTTTCCCAGGCCAGGCTGGGGGCACGTGGGATGGGGGAATTCCAGGAAAAGAGGAAATTTTGGGATTTTTTTTGGGAAGAAATCCCACCTGGAAAAGGAATTTTTTGCCAAGAAAACCTCGGGAATGGATTTTTCCCCCTGGGCAGGTGAAGGAAATTGCGGATTTTCCCATGGAATATTCAGGATGGGGATGTCACACTGGAATTATTCCCAACTCCTGCATCCCAGACTTCCTAGAGCTCGGAAAAATCGGGAATTTGGAATCCAGGCTCCTCCTGGGGTCACTCCACGCAGAAATCCGGGAATTTTGGGGCTGGATTGTGGATTTTTCCTTGGGAATGGCCTCGGGCTGGGGTGGATTTGGTGGGTTTTCCATGGATTTTCCATGGATTTGCAGGAGGAGGAGCCGAAAGCGCCGGAGCCGCCCGTGAAGGTGGAGGAGGCGCCGGTGAAGACGCCTGACGTGTGAGAATTCCCGGGAAAACCTCGGGAATGAGGGGCTGGGAAAGGGGGATTGGGGGGTCCTGGGCTCGGATCCGGGGCTGGGATTCCCTGGATTTGGGATTCCCTGGATTTGGGAATGTCCCTGGGATCTTTTGAGGGAAAATTCCCACAGAAGAACCGGGAATTCTTTCCCACGGGAAATCAGGGAATTCCCTCTGGAAAACTGGGAATTCCCTCAGGAAAAACTAGGAATTCTTTCCCACAGGAAATCAGGGAATTCCCTCAGGAAATCAGGGAATTCCCTCTGGAAAACTGGGAATTCTTTCCCACAGGAAATCAGGGAATTCCCTCAGGAAATCAGGGAATTCCCTCTGGAAAACTGGGAATTCTTTCCCACAGGAAATCAGGGAATTCCCTCAGGAAATCAGGGAATTCCCTCTGGAAAACTGGGAATTCTTTCCCACAGGAAATCAGGGAATTCCCTCTGGAAAACTGGGAATTCTTTCCCACAGGAAATCAGGGAATTCCCTCTGGAAAACTGGGAATTCTTTCCCACAGGAAATCAGGGAATTCCCTCAGGAAATCAGGGAATTCCCTCTGGAAAACTGGGAATTCTTTCCCACAGGAAATCAGGGAATTCCCTCAGGAAAACTGGGAATTCTTTCCCACAGAAAACAGGGAATTGCCACAGGAAAACAAACAATTCTCTCCCACAGGGAATTTCTTTGGGAAAATAGGGAATCCTCTCCCACAAAAAACAGGGAATTCTCTCAGGAAATCAGGGAATTCCCTCCCCCAGGGAATTCCCAAAGGAAAATTGGGATTCTGGAGCCTCCAGCCGGGCTCTTCCTGAACTTTGATTCCCATTCCCAATTCTTGGGAGCATTCCCATCCCTTCCCTGGAATTCTTTTCCCTCCAATCCCGTTCCCAAGGGAATCCAGGTGATTTTTCCCTCACCCCAAAAATTCCCCAAATTCCTCTCTGAGCTTTCCCAAGCCTCCAAATCCCAAGGAAAAAATCCCCAAATCCTCAGGAATGGGAGCAGATCCCAAAAAAATCCCACCTGGAGCAGCCTCTGGAGCATCCCTGACTTTTTCCCATTTTTTTTTTTTCCAGGACCCAGGAGAAGAAAGTGGTGAAAATCTCCTCGGAAATCTCTCAGATGGAGGTAAAATTCCCTGATCCCGATTTTCCAGGAGCTTCCAGGGGGATTTTTTTGGGAATTTTTCCAGCCTTGGAATCATCCCAGACCAGGCTGGAACCTCCTGGGATGGGGAAATTCCAGGAAAACTGGGATTTTTTGGATTTTGGGATGGAATTCCCACCTTTCTCCACCTTTTTTTTTCTTTTCCTTTTCCCACTTTTTTCCTTCCTTTTCTCACCTTCATTCTCCTTCCTTTTTCCCCTCTTTATTCCCCGTTTTTCCCACGTTCCTTTTCCTTCTTTTCCTGTTTTTTCTTCTCTTTTTCCCACTTATTTTTTTTCTTTTCCCCATCCCAATTTTCCCCCTGGAAAAATCCCAAATTTTCTTCCTTGGAAAATTCCAATTTCCCCTCTAAAATTCCAATTTCCCCCCTAAAATCCCAAATTTCCCCACTAAAATCCCAATTTTTTCTGGAAAAATCCCAAATTTCCCCCCTAAAATCCCAAATTTCCCCCCTAAAATCCCAAATTTCCCCCCTAAAATCCCAAATTTCCCCCCTAAAATCCCAAATTTCCCCCCTAAAATCCCAATTTCCCCCCTAAAATCCCAAATTTCCCCACTAAAATCCCAATTTTTTCTGGAAAAATCCCAATTTCTCACCCTAAAATCCCAATTTCTCACCCTAAAATCCCAATTTCCCCCCCTAAAATCCCAAATTTCCCCCCTAAAATCCCATTTTTCCCCGGGAATTCCCGTTTTTCCAGAGGATGCAGAAGCGAGCCGAGCGTTTCAACGTTCCCGTCAGCCTCGAGAGCAAGAAGGCGGCGCGGGCGGCGCGGTGAGCTGAGAATTCCTGGGATTTTCTGGAATTTTCTGGGATTCCTGGAATTTTCTGGGATTTCTTTTTAATTTTCTGGGATTTTGGGAGATTTTTTTGGAATTTTTTTGGGATTTTTTGGGGGTTTTTTGGAATTTTTTTTGGGGATTTGTGGGGGTTTTTGGGGGTTTTTTTGGAATTTTTTTTTGGGATTTGTGGGGGTTTTTGGGGATTTTTTGGGGTTTTTTTGGGATCTTTTGAGGTTTTTTATGGGATTTTTTTGGATTTTGGGGGGGTTTGGGGTTTTATGGGGATTTTTTGAGGGGTTTTGGGAATTTTTTAGGATTTCATGGGATTTTGTGGGATTTTTTTGGGGACTTGTGGGGGTTTTTGGGATTTTTTTGAGGGTTTTTTCTGGGATTTATTTTTATTTTATGGGGATTTGGGGAGTTTTGGTTGTTTTTGGGATTTTTGGGGGTTTTTTGGGGATTTTTTGGGATTTTTGGGGTTTTTTTGGGATTTTTTTTGGGACTTTTTTGGGATTTTTGGGGGGATTTTTTTGTGGGATTTTTTAGTGGGATTTTTATGGATTTTCAGGAGTTTTGGGGAGGATTTTTGGGGTTTTTTAGTCATTTCTTGAGGGGTTTGTGGGATTTTTTGGATTTCATGGGATTTTTGGGGGGATTTGGGATTTTTTGGGACTTTTTGGGATTTTGGGGTTTTTTTTGGGACTTTTGGGATTTTTGGGAGGATTTTTTAGTGGGATTTTTATGGATTTTCGGGAATTTTTGGGGGGATTTTTGGGTGTTTTTAGCCATTTCTTGAGGGGTTTGTGGGATTTTTTGGATTTCATGGGATTTTTGGGGGGATTTGGGATTTTTTGGGGCTTTTTGGGATTTTGGGGGTTTTTTTGGGATTTTTTTTGGGACTTTTGGGATTTTTGGGGGGATTTTTTAGTGGGATTTTTATGGATTTTCGGGAATTTTGGGGGGATTTTTGGGTGTTTTTAGCCATTTCTTGAGGGGTTTGTGGGATTTTTTGGATTTAATGGGATTTTTGGAGGGATTTGGGATTTTTTGGGACTTTTTTTGGGATTTTTGGGAGGATTTTTTAGTGGGATTTTTATGGATTTTCAGGAGTTTTGGGGAGGATTTTTGGGGTTTTTTAGCCATTTCTTGAGGGGTTTGTTTGATTTTTTGGATTTCATGGGATTTTTGGGGGGGATTTGGGATTTTTTGGGACTTTTTTGGCGTTTCTTGAGGGTTTTGGGGGATTTTTTGTGGATTTTTGGGATTTTCTTTGGGATTTTCGAGGGGTTTTGGGGATTTTTTTTGGTGGGGTTTTCTGTGAATCCGTAAATTTTTTGGGAATTCAGCCCTAATTCCCAAAATTCCCAGAATTCCTGCCCTAATTCCCATTTTTTCCATTCCCACAGGTTCGGCTTGGCCACAATTCCCACCAAAGGTGCGGAGAAGGATCCGGAAATTCCCGGAATTCTGGATTCCCTGGAATGACAAATTCCCCTTTTTCCCACTTTTCCGAGAGCGGGAATTCCAGGATCTCTCGGGAAAGGAACCCAAATTATCCCGGATTTCCCTGGGATTTCTCATCCCAAAAAAATCCAGGATTGGGATTTTCCTGGAATTCCCAAGGATCCCAAAGACCCCCCCCGGAGCCGGGGCTGGAATTTTGGGATTTTTTTTTCCCAAATTCCGCTGGGAATTCCCATTCCTGGGGGGAAATCTGGGAATTTTGGTCGATTCCTGATGGGAATTTTCCTCCTTTTCCCAGGGCTCTCGGCAGACTCCAAACCCACGGTGAGGAAAACTGGGAATGCTGGGAGGAATTCCGGGAATTGCAACGGGATTTTGGGAGTTCTGGGGGGGAACTGAGGCGGAATTTTGGGCTCAGGGGTTGGAATTTTGGGATCTTAACAGGAATTTTGGGATCAGGAGTTGGAATTTTGGGATCAGACCCGGAATTTTGGGATCAGACCCAGAATTTTGGGATCAGGGCTGGAATTTTGGGATCAGGAGTTGGAATTTTGGGATCTCAGTTGGAATTTTGGGATCAGGAGTTGGAATTTCAGGATCAGGAGTTGGAATTTTGGGATCTCAGTTGGAATTTTGGGATC